GGTCAAATATTTTTAATTCAAGTGTAAACAACAGTTACATAGTTTTCATTTATTCAGAAGAAGAGCAGTCACGCACCGCTACATCCCCATCCCCCACGCCACAAGTGTCGGACGCGTTTCTGAAAAAAATAAGCATTTTAAAATGTCTCCAAACTTCAGTTAACTTCATATTAATATCGTAGTGCTATACAACAGCATTAATAGCCAATGTAATTTGATTTAAGCATTTTATGTCGTTAGTCCACATCATTACATTTAAAATTATAATTCTAATTCAAGCAGAATAACCTATTGTCAACATAATTATGGAGTGTAATTTATTTTCAACTCAAAATATCTTCAAACTAATGAAATATAAATTTATTAGGGAGGAATATCTGTCTGGATAACAGCAGACTGACTGCTCGTAAAATATACGACAGGTCTGGACATCTGAAAAAAATCTTAGAATAAGAAAACATTGGTGAATGCCACAAATTCTCCTAAATCACTCGTASGCACAACCTAAGAACAAATCTGTGCGTTTGAACGGTTCTTGCATGAGGCCCAATGCATGCAAACAATGCACTTCACATGATTGACTTCTCTATCAGCACCACCATTGAAAAATATGCAGTGTTTTATATTTTTGACTAAATGTAAAACGTGACTTAAACAGGTTAGCTGCTAAATTAGCCATGACTCTTTGTAAGGCAAAAAATATTTAGGAATTTTATAGTAATGTTATTTCATTTTAATTTTATTTCATTTTTTTGTAATTTAATTCTGGTTAATTTATTCACAAGGCTGTCATATCTGTGAATGTTAATACTACTTTTAAATCATGATATTTTAGCTGTATTTGGACATTTTAGTCGTTTAATTTCACCTATTTCTTTAAATGCTTTCAATATTAGCATTTGTTTGAATAAGAAAAACTGTGCTACCTTACATGACTAATTTCAACAGAATATATTTTAGGGTTTTTCACAGTTGAATAAATTCACATTCTAATTTTATTTGACTTGCTTAGCAGTAAAAAGATATCAACCAAATCTCTACATGATCTGAGTTCTGTGTCTGCACCCCGTGACTCAACTGAAAGAACATCAAACAAGCTCTAATTGACGCAATATCCACAGGCTGTATCTAAAGGCAAGCTTGTGAACTTCATGTACCTTTGGACTAAAAAAGTACCCCCCAGCAGTGTGGGTCTGGCAAGAACAGTTAGATTATTTCATACGCTTTACACCACCGAACCCTGTTGGCCTCATACCCACAGCATGTATTTCAAACCACAAGGGTCAGTTAGTGTGGAGGAAACTGTATGCATGTTAAACCACAGTTTAATTTAAATATTTAAACTTAGAGCCAGCAACAGTTGTAATAAATTGTTTGATCTTGCTTGATTATTCTAAATCAAGAAGTTTTAAATTCAGAAACAAAGCTGAAATATATACCAGCTCGTTATGTCTAAGCTTGTATAAAAGAAAGTGATACTAATATTGTTAGCCTTGTATTGGCATTGTGAAAATAATTACGTTAATTAAAGGATTGAGAAGATGTTTCATCACTGTAGATTTGAGACTCAAAAGTAAAAATAGCTACCATTTTTTTAATACTTCGTTCTGTTGGTTGTAATGTATGCAACTCAGCAAATGCTGTCAATATGATACTTTTATTACAGCCAGTACTGACTGGGTACCTATTACTGGCAAAGTACAAATGTGTTACCTACAGGCTGAATTAGGAAGTGACTCAATAACCTGATGGGACAATTTACTGGGTATGTACTTGGTACTTACCAAGCTGTGTTGTATTACTTTTCCAAAAATATTAATAATAAAAGATTTTATGTTGTTAGTTTGAAATTCCCATCTTGGTAAACTAGTTCAACTATCATTTGAATGATCAAGCCAAGCTTGATAATGTTCAAAATTAGACACATTGTGACTTACCCTTCTGTTCAGAATAACCTGATAGTTGTGCTCCTTCAACACTGCAGTTTTTAACAAACTGTTTAGAAATGTTATTTAGTTATACTGACACAAAAAGCAGTTTGCATTACTTCAGAAAGTAACGTATTTTAGGAGCAGAGTTAAATTTATAATGTTTTAGTAATAACATTCCTGCTTCATATTTTAACCCTTTTTTACAACTCATTTTTTGTAGATGTTGCTTGAGAAAAACGGCCAGGAGGAAAAAGTGGGAGTCATCAAAGTAGAAAAGAAAGGACAAGGTTTTCCTCTACTTAACGAGGAGTACAGCGAGGAAGAGTCAGCGAGATCTTTCCAGGAGGCTCTGATGCAGTGGAGGGAAGAGAGGAGGGCTGGAGGAGGACAAACAGTGGCTAAGGATGGAATGTGGAAACCTGTCAGACCAGGTAAACTGTAAATATCCACATGTTGCATCACCTCCTTTCACCTCTTTTCAATTCAGTTCTTTGGTTGAGCGCCCAGTCTATTTTAACACAAATCATTGCCAATACAATATGTATCAAAAGAGGTTTAGGATTATCTTGGAACATTCTTTCCTAAAAAAATTACAATTGTCACCATACGCTATTGCTGAACCTAAATAGATTTATTTGTAATTGTCACAGACATGCAGATTAACCACATGCATATACTGACACATCTACTGGTGTTTGAGATTTGCCCACATAACATGTCAGATGGTCTTTCTCTTTAGCACAGAGGACACAGCATTCATTATTTAAAAGAAAAAAAATCAAATATTGATTCATCAGACCATTAGGCAGTTTTCCACTCTGTCTCAGTTGATCTTTAATGACCTCAAACTCAAACCAAGATTTTTAACATGCATTTGTGGTGCCAAGAAAAGAAAGGAAAACGTGTGCACTGGCAAAAAAAAGTTTTTAAAAGTGTTCCTGAGCTAATACAGAACATTTTCTGTTACTGAGAGAGGTACTGGTCATTAAGAACTGGATAAAAAGAAAATAAATTTTAAAAAGTGTTGCGCACTCCATCTTTTTACGTTTCCCCTTTATTTATAAAAGTTTAGGCCCTTAGGCTTTCGTCAGTGATCTGAGGGAAGGCCTGAGGTCTGAAACATCAATAAATAAAAAAAGGGAAAGCATAAACAGTCTGTGTGGGACATGATTTTCAGATTTTAGCTTTAAAGCAATACCAAGTCAGAGGAAATCACACGAATTGAATATAGATGATAGAAAATCTAAAAATGTATTCATAATATTTGACCTCTGCTCACTATATATTTTGCCTCCTCCTCAATCTCATGCTGTTCATTTACTCCACATATTTTTTGCTTCTAGTCTTTCTGTCTGTGTTCTGATCATTTTATCAATATCAATAAATGTCAAGGAGAAAGTGCTTTCATCTGCAATGATAATGGGTATGAACATTTCACATACTGACATAATGAGACTGGGACTGTTTAACTGAAATGATGGCTTCTGCTGTATATGCTCAGACCATATGTTATTTCCTGTATCTTTCAACGAATAATGTATTTTTACATTTTTGCATATGTAACAGTTTGTGTGTTGGATTTACGAGGGTGTGTTTCATTAGTACTATTATTTCAGGTTGTGTGTGTGTGTGTATGTATCTAGATGTTTGTGCTCATCATTAAACCTCCTATTTTCTTCGCTTTACTGCTTGGTCAAACTCCACTCGTCTCCCTTCGCTCTGCTCTGTAAATTGCTGCTAGCCCCTCTAGCCCTAATTATTCTCTACCAGCCCAATGGCACCAAGACCCAATTTAAAGTAGCCAAAGTGTCTGGAATACAATCATAACATTTCTTGTACTTACTTCTATCGTTCTTTTCCTCACATTCCCTCACCATGTTCCTTTTATATTCTTTAAACCTTTTTACTTATTCCCATGGGGCCTTTTCTTGTCTGTTTGTATTTTGGCACTTTCATTCTTGTGACTCACTTGTTGAAGGGACATGTGTGGAGAAAGCTGCAGATTATATTTTTCCTGCCTTCTCTTTTTGCTATATTTCTCTTTCTGTCCTTTAGGCTATTTTCCCCCTCCTCTTATCTCAAGATTTCTTTGTATTTGATGTTCCCCCTCCCATTTTTTTCCCAGTGTTAGTGTCAGCCGCAGCGACCCAGGCCGACCTTCCTCCAGACAGAGAAGCTGAAGGACAAAGAAGAGAAGGAGCAGAAGGGAAACTCGTTGTCAAGGTTGAGTTTACAGAAAACAGCCTTACTTACGTGGATAGATTGCTTCTCAAGATGCACCGCAGGTACTTCTAACAATGTRCATACACAACAAAGAAACCATTTTCAATATTCATTGCAGCTGAGAAATTTTCTAAACACTGAGTTCAAATACTGTGCAAATGAGCCCAGGTATAAATAGAGTAGGCAGTCCAGAGAATTAGTGACAAGTGGGTGTGCAGATGGCATTTGCTGTTTACCTTTTTGACTGTGTATTGCTTTCCAGTCTTTTGTCAATATTGAGGATATGTGCTTGTACGTGTAATATTGATTCTATTATTGGCAAGTTGATAGCCTCATCCATCATTCTCAATGTAGTGCAAAAAAAAAAAAAACCACAAACATTTCTACACTGTAGTTTTCACATGTTCTGCCAGAATATTATTTAGCAGAGAGGACAGTTTTCAAAAGTCAACMTTCAGCTTAATGTGAGGGGGAAAAAGAAAAAAAGGAAAATACATATCCTGAGCCTTGATCAGGCTTCTTACATTGATTTTATTCAATAGACTCAATGAAAACTTGTTTTTTTATGTTTTTGTCTCTGATATCGCATTTTGTTCCAATTTTTTTTTAGCTCTGGAGAAAACAGAGGTTTAGCATTTTCTGCCTTTTGATATTGGAAACATGTCACCAACCAAAGCATGAGTCTTGTTAAAACATCAACACTTATCTAAAGTTATGACTGTCTAGCTCTTAAAAATGACTAACACACTGTTATCATTTGGCTAGCCCGACTTATTTAAACACTTTTTTAACATGAAAACATTGTAGGAACATTTTAACATTTGGTCACTGAGTGAATACTTGAGTTTGATAATATTACAAGAAAAGAATAATGTAGCCACTTGCACACAAATGTTTTACTCCCAAGCTTATCTTTTAGCAACACACATTCTCCTACAATTTCCAGTGACAGGACACGTTTACTTTTGTGTAAAAACACACACACACATGATTTTTTTGTTACCCATTTTTTGGTCACGACATGCACCTCTCCTGCCTCTCCATTGTCAGTCCACATAAGTTACTAGTGTACAAAACAATTTCTCTGTACTTTGCCTGCAGGTTGGGCTTTTTCTGGTCCCATTATTACAACCTTTATTTAAGCAGYTTCTTTTGGGCTTAGTATCCCACTGGAGTGAAGGTCAGCAGGAAAGAGAGAGCACTGGAATTTTGGGCCTTCTCTCTATCTGAGCAGGGATGCTCTTAGTCCCCAGCTGTAGCAGCCTTTAACTTTGGAATAGACTAGAGAGCCAATCTGGAGTGCAGTGAGCCTGCAGCGGTGATGGTGGCAGAGCTTAATGGAGAGACAGAGAGACTTACCAGCTAGAGGGAAGAAGGAAGGAGAGGTTGAATTTTAACAAGCTTCAATAATAATGGGGAAAAGAGTGGGAGAAGGGAGTGTGGAGCAGGAGGGAGCGCTAAAGAATCTGCTAAAAGTGCTCAGCTATATTAAAGTCGTAAACTCTATCACCTTGGTAGATTTGTGCATGGCCTGCAGGTCATAGAAAGCAAGCTTGTGACCAAGGCAGCACTAGTCTGTTTCCCTGAGCTGACTCAGGTAGGGTGAGCGAATGCTCTCTTTTCCATCAAGAGGCAGAGTTTGAACACTGAGCACTGAACCCTGAAATAAGTCTGCACAGCATGGGATGTGAACTGGCCCTTTTCTGCATTTCTCAAAAACTGATTTAATCTCACCAGGACTTTTGTAACAAATTTGATGTTTCTCTGTGTCTAGTATAATGCCCAATCTAAATCTTTTCACCTTCTTAAACCAATGTGAATTTATGTAAAAATCATTACTTTAAATTGAAAAGTGCACATCTTCAGATATTACAGATGTTTTAGATGTTAAATTTTCTATCTTTTTTTCACAGTATATCAAAACTTACATTAAAAAAATCTAAAAAAAAAATCCTACAAATTAAAAATAAAAGTGGCTGGTGGTTTGTTTATGAATTCAACTCACCTAAATGAAGCAACTCAAATGCAGTTTAAAAGCTTGGAACTTCACAACTTTCAGTTTTAATTGAAAAAAAAACTTGAATGAATATAGCAAAACATCTTCAACTGTACACTTTTTAATYTTTTCATTTTTAATTTTATGATTTACCATCCCTGGGGATCTACTASTGGCAGTGATAAAGATGGATGAAATCTCTTACTGGGAACCCCAAAATCTCAGTTTTTTTTGGGAGCACCCCTGTTGTGTGTTTGATGCCAGTTTCTGCACTCTAGAGATGTAGGGGTGCAACCTTGATACTAAAGTCCCACCTAAACACCCTCCTAACTTGCTAACATGATGTCACATCATAAATCACAGTGTTGTATGACACTTCTTTAAGCCTTAAATAGCTAAAACTAAATCTTGAATATATATATAATATGTGTTTGTGTGTGTGTGTGTGTG